AGGAGGAAAAACGACGTTAGAATATTTGCAAGAAGCCGAGCTGGTGGGCAGAAGCGGCGGCGGCGGGGGCCGTTTCCAAGATAATATCAGCTTACTGTTGTGAGTCGCGTGGTTGCCGGCTGGGAATTGCCACCGCCGTCCGGGTAGAAGTGATAAGTTATTATAATGAGTATAGCGAGTGAGAGAAGACGGCGGCGGCGGCGGGGTTGCGGCGGAGAAAGAAGGGCTCATAGTTCAGATCTGTAGCCAGGCAGCAGCTTAGTGGTGGCTGCGCTGGCATGAAAGTTTCATGTACGTGTTTCTTCCTCGCGCTCTCGTTTGTACCGTATACTATTCGATCAAGTTTCTTTATGTGTTTAAAAAATAACACTCCGCGGAATGAAGCATTCATTATTTCTATTTCCGGCCCAATAAATATCGATAATTGTGACATATTTGGTGTTTTGTTTCGAGATCTTATTTTCCATTTTTACTTACACAAAGTCGAGAAAGGGTGTCACCATGTAAAATGTATAGAATTTTTACAAGTACTTGAGTCAAAGCTTTACTCGTTATTTATTGGTCTGTAATTAAAGTTCAATTTACATAATCTCAGTTAAATGTTCTACTTGTGTGGGGCACTAAGGGATAGAGTGTCATCTTTTGGAGGAAGTTCTACTATTGCCAAAATCTGATTTTTTTAATACTTTAGTATTAGGGAATGCAATATATTAATTGTCAAATTTGTGTGTTGGAAAACGTGAAAATTGAAATGTTACGATAAAAAAGAACGGAGAAAGTATATTCTACGTACATAATTTCTTTTACTCCATATGTTTTAGTTATTTTTTATGGTTAAAGGTTTACATTAAAATTATAAGAACATGTAGAACAATATTCAAACAATTATAACTGATCCGATCGCATTCAATAGGATTCGATATAAAGTGAGTCACCCGCGAAAAATACAAACAAAAAGAACTGCTCTCTAGACACAAAACAGATTGTAGTGTTTTATTTTCTAAAGAGGAGTAATTACTATAATGTTGAACATCACTAGACATTACCCTAATTACCCATATTTAAGGAATAAAAATATGACAATCCTATTTTATACACCCTATTTTAAAGATGTTTTTGCTCCTATTTTGAGAATTTATTCATTAAAATTTATGATTGAGAATGGAGAAGAGGAAATATTTTTCAAGATTCAGATGGTTTGATAAAATTCTTAAATATAAATATAAAAAATGAGTTTTAGTGTTCATTTGATAACATTAAAATTGACTGAATCTAGTAAATCTATTAAAATTGATTAATTTAATGATGAAACGGTTAAATTGATTGAATCTACTCAATTGTGGAGGAAAAATAAAACATATTTCACCCATTCCTCAAAATATGTCAAACTTGACTGACTCAGGAAATGATAAAGTAAAAATTGTGTGATAGATATTTATGGAGAGGAGAGAGAATTATTAGAACCCAATTCATTCGTTAAAAAAGAAAGTGACGGAATTTTAGGGACATCCAAAAGAGGAAAGATGACAAAGTTATAAGGGAAGTAGGAGAGTATTTTATTAAAAGTAAAGAAAAACTATGTAAAAATAGCTCAGATGATTGTATTCCGCAATTTCAACCAATTCAGTTTGAAAAATAATTCTTACCTTGTTTTTATTATTTCACAATTTAAGATTACATATATAACAATAAAGTTTCGCTGATACGCAGAAATAAAGGTCATATTTCTTAGAGCCTAATTGGTGACCCATGTTTCGACTTATAGGGCTTTATAAGTCATTTTTTTTTAATCAAATATGCAACTTTTAATTTCAGATTCTAAATGAGGTAAGGGTCATATTGGTCCTTGAAATTGCATAAAAAGGGTCAAATAAGTCTTTACTGTCCGGCCGTCGCCATTAGGGGAGGTTTCCGGTGGAATTTTTTGATGAAATTTGTTGGGCATCTTATTCATTAAGTCTAGTTTACTCATACCAAATTTCAGCTAAAACTTCAATCGGGAATGCATTCAAATGAATTCTTGAAGGTAACTGCGCTTTTAATTGAAAAATGACGGTTTGATCACTTTAGCGTTTTCAATAAGTGAAAAAGTTGTTTGGTAAATAGCTGTTCGGTACCAGGGTTTTTGGACGGAAATGCTGAAATGAAAACACTGCTAATAGGAGAGTTTTGGGTCGACGTTTTGTAAAATGACGTTTTCTACTAGTTTTATGGCGAAACAGCTACATTACCAAACATCTTCTGACAACCCATCAATTTATTTCGCTAGTCAAACTTGCTGACCGAATCCGCTGTTGACAACCCGCTGACATAACCCGCTATCCGTAACCGCTGAATGCCAAACACGCCCTATATGTTTTCGTTCTGATTCCGGTTCGTACAGCCAAATAAGGTCTACTCTTATATGTCCATAAAGGGAAATAAGGGAGACTAGATAGGTGTGTGTAGTTTCGTAAGACCTGATGAATAATCATATGTAAATGTAATGTAATATTATTACATTTGCAATGGAACCAAAGATTCACTATTTTTTGGCTTGAGAATATGATGGGATAAATCGAAATGATTCACTAAATTGTTTGCGCTTCTTTATCATGAAGCGGCACTCAATCCATGCCATTTTGGACACAATTTTCACTCTGGGTCACTTGAAAATAGTCTATATGTGCTTTAATACAAGAGTAAGACTACGTAGATCCAATCTCTTTATCCCTCCGTGTGGAGCCTTTGCGGGAATTGCGGCACTGAGTATTGATGATGTATATGTAATGTAAATTCACACTACAAACATATTTGATACAAAGTAGTAGGAACAACTTGCCGAATAGCGCTTAGATACAAATCCTACAATAAAAAGTCATTCCATTGGTGTGGGAGGCGAGGATAGCGTGGAAGGGAGATAAATCTAAACAATACGGACACTAAAAACTAAAATTGTTTTCGAAATGCCGGTGAACAACATCGTTTTCTATTACTGCGTATTTCTTTTGTCAGCTTTACCCTTATAGACGGATAAAATGCACAAATGATGCTACATATTGAATATGTTGCAATGTGGTATTTAACTTTTAAATGAAGTAAAAATTAGTAACATAATTATACGTAAATGTTTCAAGTAACATTACTATTCAAAATTCCGGGCAAAAAGTCCTATGTGACGACCCAAATTCAATGCATCGAGTCCATCCTACATGTAGGATTTTTTGGCTGAAGTTCGAACAATATTGTGAATTCAAACATTTATGTATAGTTATGATACTGATTTGATTCATCTAAGAGTTTAGTGTCAAAACATAACAATATGATTATACGAATAGTTAAGGTATTGTTTGCGCATATGACTCGTTCTAGAATATAGACCAATTTTATAATCTTTTTCACTTCATTTATCGTTGTATAATAGTTTGACTTTTTCACGATTCATGTATTTGAATTTGACCACATTTATTTAATAAATGTGTAAAAGTTACATGAATTTTCGATAAATAATACTCTAGTAGTAGTATTCATTATACTAGTCATATTTACTCTACATGAATTCATTATATACTCTACATGGCTTTTTCACCATTCATACATTTGTTTCAATCTAAAATTTCAAATGGGATTGTTTATAACATTTACTTTTTTTTTTTACATTTACTAGTCATATTACTCTATTTCCATCATTTGCAATGAAGTTAAAGATTCATTATTTTTTGGCTTGAGATTATGATGGAATAAAGCAAAATGACTCACTAAACTGTCTGCGCTTCTTTGTTATGAAGCAGCAGTCAGTCCATGCAATTTTGGACGGGATTTTCACTATGGGTCATCCAGAAACAGTCTCTTTGTGCTTTAGTACAGGGGTAAGACTGCGTACATCCGACCCCCCCCCCCCCTTACCCCACCGTAGGTGGGAGCCTTTGCGGCACTGGGGTAAATGAAAATGATGACTAGTCATATTACTCTACATGAAAACCCAAGATCAGTCCAACTTCAAACTGAAGAAAAATATACTCTGTAACTAATAAGGCATGTAAAATGCTTTGATCATTAATATATATAATTCTCTATTAGTAAAAAAATTAAAAAAAAATAGTTTTTGAAAATTTACAATGAGACAAATTTAATAATATATTTTTCAAAAAAATATATTAATACATCAATAAATAAAATGTAGTCAAAGTAGAACATATGAATAGTGTAAAATTTCACATGTTGCACTTATTTAAGAACGGATGTAGTATAATTCATTATTTTGTCATGATGAGAAAATATGTTTGAAAAAATTTCAAACTTCCTCTAAGGTACTTTTGAGGTATATCTATATCTATATAATATAATAAAGCAAACCCCTAAAGAACCCTTTAGAAGAATTGCTGACACGTGACAACATACTTTGTATAAAAAAATGGCATTTGGCAACACAATACATTAAAGAAAAGGCTATTCAACTTCCAAAACTCTACTCTTATGTATTCTAATATTATAGAAAATTTGTTCTATATAAAATTAGGTAAAATTTTAGGTAAAATTTTGCACTCGCCGGTATTACAAAATCCATATACTCAAAAATAAAAATAACTAACAATTTGTAGCCACTATTAAAACAAATATATTACACTCTATTTCTTTCTCATAAACTCTTGGAGATTCACCCTTATTTGGGGTTTTTATAAATTGTTTCTTATTTCTTTCCAAAATATGATAATTATTACATCCTCTGTCTCATTAATTTTCTCTGACATTTCCTTTTTTTGTTCACTAAGTTTGTATATCTTCAAATATTATAATGCATGTGTAGTTCTAAATCATTCTTACATTATTTTCCCTACTTTTTCATTTCAACATTAACTACATAAACTCTTTTTTAATAGCAGCACATGTCTAATTCACAAGGTCTACCAAATCAATGTCTAAATGTAGATTTTTTTTGTCTCATTTATTTATACTTTGCAATTTATATTCACGTTGTTAAATGGGTTAGCACTCCCCAATCTTACCCAATCCGTGATAGATTATGTTTTTCATAGCTTGGATCATCTAACTGATTAATGGTCTCAAACAATGAGAATGATCTCAAATGATGCACATTATTTTTCATGGAGGTGCACAATACACTTATATTTAAAATAATTCAGACTTTAAATGGACATGAAAGGTTGAATTTATTTATAAAGATGCTACTACATTTTTTTATGATAGCGCATATTTCTATTTTAAATAATCCACATTTTTCAAATTTAATATTCCAGTTCATTCTAACTCTCTTTTACACGTTAAGGTGTCTTCTCATTTGAACTCAATCTTATATATATAATTTACAATCTTCAAATCTAACGTTCCAGTTCATATATAGAAATAATGCTAGAGTAATTTATTTGAATAAATATTATATATAGAAACAATAGTTCAACAAGGGTTGTACATTAATAAGTATATTTGAAATTTATTTTGGTAGTAAAGCAACAATACTGAAGAAAATGAAAGTAAAAAATAGATGTTTATATTTTGGTTTACTTGCAACCTGCATGGGTGAACTCACTTAACCTGCAATCCATGCAAATTTCGAAACTGGTGTGTTCATCGGATTGAAGAATGACAACTCTAACCCACCGTGAAATGAGATGAAATGGGCTAACCCTATGGACTTCAACTCACTTTGACAACTCTATTCATAGTTGACTGAATTTTCTTATAAACTCTGATTGAGGAATTCACATACAATTCATTGTCCCAACAATTTTAATAAAAACTTTAAACACATATTTTCCCGTGCAGTGCACGGGTACACATACTAGTTATATAAATTTCCTAACACTCAGATACACTGGACTGACTGGAGCTGCTCGAGTTATCATGTAGATGTATATATATGTAATTGTGGTACTGGTGTAAAAATCTTAACCAAAGATGTAGAGATCCACGGTGGAATTGTGGAAACTGGAAAGCTTATCAATGTTGGGTTGTTCTTCTAATTCCATCTTGAGGCTACGATGGCCCCTCATCAAGGCAACTTTCAGCCCAAAAAAATGATGACATAGTTGCATACTTGCATTGCAAAGGAGTTTATTTTTTGAGGGGGTGTTTTTGCTGATGTTGTAAAATGTCACATTTCCTTGAACTAATCTTGAATGTTAGAGCTTACAATTCTATCCTCTTTCTGGACTGTGCTCGGGGGGTCAAGGATTCATCATGGAGGCCTTGAAAGTCATTAAAAAATTCCAAGGGAGAACTTAGGGAAATGGGGAAAGAATATGGGGGCATGCAGATAGAGGACAAATTTGGAATACAAAAAGTTGCAGTATGGCAACACATTACAAAACAAAGATAGAATGATAGATACATTCAGTGAGCAAGGCACCTTTTGGAATTAGGATAATCCTAACGAAATAAATCTATAAAATAGGGAGCGAAATGACATAATTCGTAAAATAAAAAGTAATGAATATAAGTTGGTCGCCAAAGGGGTTCGGAGAGCCTTGAAGATGAATTGTTTACATACTATGGGTGGCTGGTCATAGGCTTTGTTAACATATTTGTAATGTTCTAAAGACTTCTTTCTGTTAGTACTGAAACAGCTTGTTGAAAAAGGAAATTATACCTTCTCTAACAAGCCATGGCCAGTGTTGAAATAAAACTCATCCCAAAGCTTCTTTAGAACTGCCGGAGATATGCTTTGTCCAGTGTGTGGCTGTTGGCAAGCTCACTTCTCAAGTCTTGTTGACTTCTTTTAAAGACTTCAATAAAAATCTGACGACAAGATGTATGTTTTGAAGTACAACTTGCATACAATCATAGGATTGGGGGTATCTATTTAGGCTGTAGTATGAACCAACATAATGAAGTTGCGGAAACAACTAACAAGAGCAGGTAACAGTTTTATAAAATTTTCCACAACACCAGAGCTTGCAAGTCCTACACAGAAAATATGTAGAGTAATAAGTGGAAAAGCAGCCACACAAGCACCAGTATTATTCTTACAAAAAGGACATAGATTGATATAGAGAATTTTCAAAAAAAAAAGTAGAAGGTTTTCAAAACTGTTGAAAATATCTACTAAATTAGTATAGCATGCTTTTTTTTACCCAAAAATGCTAGCAAAACCAGCAAACTTCCTAGAATTTGGTGATGGTTTGAACGGCAAAAATAGCAACAGAAGGAAACTTCCTAGATATTGGTGATTGTAATGGAAAAAATTTGCCCTTAGACCATGCATTTGATATAAGAATTATATGTCGTCTTATTCATATGGACAGATACATAGATCTGCTTATTCTTTAGAAACTGGTTACAAGTGGAAAAGCTTGTACACAAACACCGGTATTATTCTTAGAAAATGGCGTCTAGCAAGACCAGGAAACCTCCTAGAAATTGTCGCTGGTCTTAACAGGGATTTTTTTTCCCTTGAAGCATAACTTTGAAATGAGGACCATAAGTCTTTTTATTCATATTAATTGACAGATACATATGCCTTCTTATTCTAAGAGCCTTGTTTTTCATTTTCAATGTTTTCTTCCACTTTTAACCATATGCACTTGGATATTTATTCACTAAAACATTGCAATCTTTTTAACACCAAACTCTTGTCTTTGCTTTGGCATTTATAGTGAAACACTAGTACATTAAGATTGTTTGCAATAGACCTTATTCACTGTGTTTTTTTAGTGTAGTTAGGAAAACTAAACTAATCCTGTTCTAATTAAAGAAAGTTAGGATAATATATTTAGATTATGGAGCAGATTTCATTTCTAAGAATTATTTAGAGTAAATTTTCTAAACTGAGAAGTATCAAGTATGAGAGTCTATTTGTTTGATAGTTATTGTTAGTTTATGCGACTTATCGAAATTAATTAATTTGTCATGCAATAGGCAAGTAAGCCTATGCTAAATTTAATACCCGGACCACCCAGTGAAGAGTATAAGTATTCCTGTCAACAAATAGGCACACAAAACTTACGACAAACATTGTATAAGGTAATCAAAGAAATAAAAGAAATTTTATGTTAGTTCTAGTTTTTCATTTAAATTAAAGAGATTAATCCATGTTTACAAACATCTGTTGACTAAGCTAAGGCATTTTAGCGAACACTTTACAACCATGTCAAAATTCATAACTAAGTGAAGCAGAGATTATTTGAACAACATCAAAATCAAAGACGGAATACAAGGAGGCAGAAACAGATGCAGTTTTGTGAATATATTTTAAGCGTACAGATATGAGATATCAATTACAAATTTACAATACTACTTGAATCTCAAGTAACTCACTATTAATTTAACAGGAAGCAGAACTAATAGGGAATTCATTAGAGACCGGTTAAACTTCAGACTTTCAGTTGCAAGTGAATGGAGCTATTGAAAAGAAAATGTAAATAATACCTTGTATGTGGAATGAAATTGTAGCAAAACAAAAGAAGACAACGTTGCCACCATGTCACCGACCCTGAAATATATGAACTGTAGCGGGATGGAGAGCCATCTTACTGTTGAATAACTGCAGCGTGAATAGACACAAAGAAGCCGATTAGTGGTTTGTTATCTTGTTAATGGTGCTGTTACAGAGATTTGGAAAGAAAATAAAAGAATAAGTAGATAGTTTTTTACATACTTGACTAAAAAGTAGGTTAGCAAACATTGTCTCTTTCAAATGGGCCTTTAGAATCTTAGTCAGAGTCTCTTCTAAGTTGTTCCACCCGAAGCTGCAATGAGAACACTTTCACCAGGGATTGGACTCTGTCCCATTTGGACGTGCTGCTGCTGCTGCTCTTCCAGTTCAGTTTGGGAAAAAAATTCTGATTGAAGAGATGGGGCGATATTGTTCACATGCAGCCATGTCAACTGCCAGAAACTGTCACCTTCTATAAGTTCACTGGGTGACAGAATCCCACTTGTCTTCATGACAAGCAAAATGTTCTTGAGTAGCTCCGGAACAAGTTCAGTGATTTTCCCACTTTTCTTCCCCCGATATTTCACCTTCATACATCTCTCTAAGCAATCCACAACCGTTAACCATAGTGTCTGGAAAGACGAGTCTATGCGGTAAAGATCCTCAAGACGCTGCAAGAAGACTTTTGACATTAGCTTCAATGACAAAACAATTGATCCTTCAATGCTACTATGATCCTTCAAGGAATTATTCCGGTGCACAAGTTCTAGCAGATCATCTGTTAATGTGAATATGAGTTGATTGAAGCAAAGTAACCACAAGTCATTTGGAACACTGATTCCATCAACTTCGGTCAAACATCTTTGTAACATCAAAATTGCATGGTTTCTGACAGCTTCTCTAGAATCCAAACACACTTTTCTTATCCCTTGTACCAACCTCAGCCACATCTCCCAAATATCCTGGCACATCTTTGATGCGGCATCCCCCTCCAGAGCTTCTTTTGTCTTGTGGGACCACCTCACGAGACAAACAACCGAACCCGCCATCAGATCCAAGGACGTTACAGACCGGTCGACGCTCCCGACCTGGTGCTCTGCGAACTGCCTAGCTGCGTTGATGCAGAGGACGTAGTTCGCTGGTAAGAGGTGACGGGCCCCATCACCAGACATGATGAATGATAGCGTCTCATAACCCACATCTGACGCTTCCGGATGTCGGGCCGTGAGCGAGAGCAGCGAAATTATTGTGCGCCACCCCATGTGGGATCGTATCTGCACGGCATTTGCTCTCACGAGACGCATCACTTCCTCCGTGATGTGTGGTAGGTAAGCATCGGCGACCCGGGCATCAAGTTTTAACACCAGTTGCAGAGATGTGAGAAGCTCATCGGTTAGGTTCTCTTTATAAGGAAGCAACCGCTGGCATATTCGTAACAATCCAAACACAGCCTTTTCAATCAGAGGACATGGCATTATGGTTGATTGGACTATACTGGCTATATGGTCATAAACACCTTGCCAGAGAAGCATAATCCGGTCCCTGTTGTTTAATGTTATTGCAATTAACAACTCCAGGCAAAAAACAGCAGTCAATTCATCGCTTTCCTTTCTCCCTTTAGAAGAAAGCCTTCCTGCAGCCAAAACAAGTGCCTGAACAAGCTGCAATAGTGACTCTGCTTGCAGAAACTTACTGTCAGCAAAGATGTTATCAACGTGACAGCTTTGGATCATCTGCAGCATCCGTTGGCGAGCATCAATCTGTTCCTCACTGGGATCAGCTGCAGCATCTTCAATAATATCCAGAGACAAAAACTGGCTAAACCGGCCCATTAAGCCAGATGATTTCCTATTAGAAGCGGCTAGTGGGGGTATGTTAGATCCTGTAGGGAGAACCGTAGCAGATCTCTTTTTATCCACATCAGTAGACAATGACTCTGGGTCATCATCAGCTGAATCACTGAGGATACGTGAAGGAAGAAGTCCAAACCTGTGCAAGCTTAAAATGCAATCCAGAATGTTCTTCCAACCCAAGTGAATGTGGTCACCATACTCGTTTGCTATGGTAAAGACTGCGGTGGAGGCCATCCTCGCCTTGCTGTCATCACCGTATCTAATAATGAAGTCTTCAGAGTAGGACGGGAGCAACAAGTTGGTGAATTTGCATAGTGACACAACCAAATCATCCAACACTTGATCGAAGTTATATGATGCCGAAATCTTAGCAACAGCCAAGAACCCATCAACACAGGTTTGCAAGATGCCTTCCCCTTCCACATGATCAAACACGACAGAGATGGCAGCAACTATGGGCCCAGATAGTATTGAAAAGAGATGTTTGTCAACGTAAGGTTTCACATCACAGACTATGAATGGGGCAGTATGGTTCGATCTGTGGACCAGACCAACCCAGTAGCTTGGCATCATGACAGCAGAGGCTACATTACCTGCATCTGGGGTCATCCGGATCTCGCTCTCACATATGGAGTGGTAAAGCTCCAACAGTAACTCTCTGGGGAGGTCCTGTCCCCCATTAATCCTACGGTTATTACGGATGAAATCTTCTTCTGTCATCTTCTTCTTAACCTGTGAATTGTGTTGGTCAGTGTTGAGCAATATGATTGAATACGATAGGAGGAGAGCAGCATCTTTGTTTGCCAGAATATCTGGAGATTGCTCATGATATCTTTCAGAAAATGCTTCAAGCACTCTTTGTATTTTTTGCGACTCTCCGGGCAATCTAAATGTTTCTAGAAATATCCGCAGCGCTATATCCAAATTCATACCACGGAAATCAAATGTCTTTGCAAATTCATGAAGCACAGAGATGCAAAATTCATCATGGTTACCTAAGAAATCCCCGATAAGATTTTTATCTAACCCAGGTGCGTATCTGAAGAAACAAGCTACACTGGTGGGATCCAGTTTGTCACCAGGTAACAAATGCATTTCTTGAACAAACTCGAGACCTTTCTTGGGATCCCGGTTAAAATGGTCGGCTCCAATCATCAACTTCTGTTTAATTTGCTTCATCTTATGCACATAAGGAACCCAATGAGTAGGGTCATTATAATCTTGACATACCTCAGTCCAAAATGGCTTATATTCTTCAGAATCTGACGAAATGAGTTCTGAAACTGAACCGTGCCCAATCCTTTCACAAATTCCTTCAACCATAGCAATTAGACCATCCAAAGCAATAGTGTTCACTGCTGATAAAGGGCTGTTGACTGGGAACGTGCTCTTTGACAATAGGTTAGCAAGTTCTTCAAATATGTTGCTACAAGAGATGTCACAATCAAAATTAGCATACATTTCAGTCATGAAAACATGCTGCCTGCAAAAGTCAACTAGAGCTTCCAAAGCAACCTCCTGCTGTTGATAAGAAGCTCCATGTTTGTTCTGCGCAATCCTCAAGAGCACACCGGAAAAGAAAGTTTCAAGCTGCAGCTTTAGTTTATCACGGAGATGGTGATAGAGGTTTAGAACAATGCTGCTAACTGTTGAGAGGATTAGTGGGCTCATCGACAGGCCAAAGCGCATCAAAGTTTGGAACAACTCCTCCTGTATCAAGGTCAATAATTTAGGATGGTTTCCAAACGAAGCTCCACCTAATTCTATTGCTGAATTTATTAAACCCAATGCAAAAAGAGGGACATCCTCATCATATGCTATAGGATTCGATTGTGGACCAATTTCCATGTGATCCATCACATTCAGAAGAGAACATAGGAAATGAAGTATCTCCAGCATACAAGGGATTCCATAAGGATCCATCGTGGAAAGATCTCCACCACTTATACTCTCCTCCTGGCCGCCCAGTTCATTCTTCTTGCTTGCCAATTGGTTTGGAGATACACTCAAATGAGATTTTTCATTACCAGAACCATCAAGGATAGATTGCCGATCCCTAAAAGTTTTATCTTCCATCAACATATCATCCTAACAATGTCATAAAAGGACTTCCTTAGTGAAAGTGAGAAAAGGGGGGAAATCATATGGAAATTAAACATATTACATTAGTAATCACAATGATCACTCCCTTGTAATAACATTAGGGTTACGCAGATTAAAGTGTAAAGAAAAACCAAGTTTTTTCCCAGTCAAGTAGACTTCAAGATTCTGAGAAAACTGATCATTACCTAATTTTTTTTTAATCCCAGAAAACCACCAATCAGTGGGGTAAGAGCTGGGAAACTCTTACATGAACATTCAACTGGGATACTTGCCCATAAGAGTGATCAATAAAAAGAACAGTAATCAATAAAAACATTAACACCCATTTCTCTCTAGGCAGCAACTGTTTGACCTACTTTTAAGAGAACACTTATCCTACATAGATAAGAAAAATAGAAAGACACCTCATTTGTGATTATTACCTCTGGAGTAGCACATAATATTTTTCTCTGATCCAAAACAACTTCTTTGCTCTCAATATCAGGCAGGTGAGAAAAGATACACCTAACCAAATCATGCATTGTGTGGCGTGTTATCCTTTGCAACAGTTCACTTTTTGCACTTGCCTGGCGGACCAACCGGAAACAGGTATTTACTATATTGCACACATGTTGGTTCCCCAAATAAACAGATGCCTTGCTTTTCATGCAAGCCAATAGAACTTGTAGAATCTTCATCAACACCACTTCTTCAGAGGCAGAATCAGTCACTTCAAAACGACAGCTGGTGACAGCATCAACTATCCGATGCAAAGCCTTGTCTACATTCTTAGAAGTCGAATCAAGAATTTCAAGGGTTAAAAATTTGTAAATGGATGACAAAGCAACACCTGTGATTGGTGCACCAGTTTCATCAGATTGGACCACGTCCAGAAATGGCTGGAGAAAGACCAGTGGATCGATCGAATTCGATTGATGTTGCCATGAGAAGATCTTTTTCCGCAGTTCCTTGAAGGACTGAATGAGAGAATGCTCTACCTGATCATCGCTAGCGGCATAGTGAATCCCCCATCGTACATTTCTCCTCATCACAGCTAAAACCGCTCCAACTTCTGAGTTCACCATACAAGCCAAAGCGTTCCTGGATGGCTTCCATGTGCCACCTTTGGGCTCTGGACAGATGTCATTGGCTTCAATATGCTGATCCAGACACCCCATAGTGGTTTATAACCTCCTTGGGAGTCCACCTTAGGTTCCAAAAAACACAATGATAAGGTACGATGTGTCAGCTAATTCTAAAATAACTGTTATACAGCTAATTCACACAGCCAAATCACCCCCTGAAATTTATACAGCTTTAATCAATTTTGTAACATCATTCTGCAAAACCTTGAAACATAGATACAAAAAGTATCAAGGGTAGATTTCCTACCCAAATCTACAGGTGAGTTATCGGGTTGGGTGTGTAGCCATCAAAATAATCACACAACACATTCAGAGTGGGTTATGCGGACGGATCTGACATTGACGAGCCGAGCAGATATCAGGTAGCTCTTCTGTTAGCCTTCAGACTGTAGGGGGGCGAGATTTACAGGGTCTTCATTTTTTTACAGATGAAACAATCATATCAGGGGAAAATGTCCATGAAAACAGTACTCTTATAGCGATTTGATCTTGTACGAAAGTTCCCGTTCATACCTTGTTGAGTTATCGGCAATCCATGTCTGAACGGATGCCTGTTCAGAAGATCATTGCAGACTGGCAGCAGCGGAGGATGGGTAATTTGCCAATTTTAGCATTTGATTCAGATGTTCACGACTTCACGTCCAGTACCATTGAAATGGAAAAAGGAGCTTCTATTTCAGCTTAGACGGACAAAGATACCCTTCTACGCTAGTTTTTTACGGAGTAGTAATTTGTTAATTTAGATTGAATAAAACGCTGCATTAGGGCTAATTGTATTTTTTGTTTTTCCAGCTAGTTATTTGGTGAACGATTTCTTATATACAGACTACAGAGTATATGGTTACAACTTACGACCCATATTGTGGGTTGCCTGATTAAAATTTAAATCCTACATTTGATAGAACTAAGGAAAATTGGAGAAAAATAATCTCAACTAATAGTGATCTGATTCAAATAATGCAAAATATCAATTATCTCAAAATAATTAAATTTTTTAAAGTTTTATCTCAAGTTTATTCAAACTATTACTCCCTCAGTCCCAAATTGTAAGATACATTTACTATTCACTTGATCAACATAAATCACTCTTAATCTTTTACTTTATATATCAAAAGTTTATGAAGTTTGAATTATTTTTTGCAGGTTTTGTAGCGGTTTTAATGTAGTTTCTGAATATGTAAACTTTATTTTCTAAAACTAATTCGAGTGTTGACAGGGATCAATTTCCTTTATCGTCGGTCAAACATCGTAAACCGTAAAGTATCTTACAAATTGGGATGGGGGGAATAATAAACTTCTCAAAATACTACAATTACTATTAATAACTCGTAAATGATTTATAATATTTACGAGTCAGAGGAGCATTTTGAGGTTTTTTCAATAGTTGTGTTTAATTTTGAGATAATTGAACTTTGAATTATCTCAGCAGATCACTAATAGTTGTTATTGTTATTATCCATTTTTCCTATAACAAATACTACAATTATTATTCCTATGGTTGTAGTATATATTAAACAATTATTATTATTATTATAAGGAATAATATCAATTCAAAACCTGAAAGTGTCAAAAATAAAATTCATGATATTTTAAGTATTAGATTGATAGTTTTTAATTATTCGCACTTGTACCCCATGCGATGCAAATTTTTAAGGGATGGAAGTGAGCCATCTAATATTTGTCACACCAAATACTTCACTCATTGTCGATATAGAGCATGAATGATTGATCGCTATCAATCTAAGACGTAAAATAGCCTGAATTTTATTAATTTTTAATTTATATTTTAAAATACTATTTAATTTAATTAAAGTAATAAATTTTTGTGAAGATAAAAACATAAAATGTAGCAATGAAATAAATAAAAAAACCAAAGAAATTGAAACTTATTGCTCCATATATTCTATCTTTCTATTATATAGATAAAATGATAAAAACACGAATATATAAATACTTAATTCTTAAACAAATACGTAGTATATTCAATCCGAACGACAAATGTGCGTATAAATTTCAAGAGTAAGAAGTTGAAAATGTTAAATACTCCGTATGAAATCATTATTTGTATGTATCCATTATGCATGCATGTACGTAGCTTTAACTTATTAGTAGATATTTAGATTAAAAAAAGAATAACTCAAGTGATCCAATTCAATCGGGGCTCTCCCTCGCTCACCTCATCTGATCTCATCTTCTTCCATCAATTCCTGAGAGAGAGAGAGAGAGAGAGAGAGAGAGAGAGAGAGAGAGAGAGAGAGAGAGAGAGAGAGAGAGAGAGAGAGAGAGAGAGAGAGAGAGAGAGAGAGAGAGAGAGAGAGAGAGAGAGAGAGAGAGAGAGAGAGAGAGAGAGAGAGAGAGAGAGAGAGAGAGAGAGAGAGAGAGAGAGAGAGAGAGAGAGAAGAGAGGAGAGAGAGAGAGAGAGAGAGAGAGAGAGAGAGAGAGAGAGAGAGAGAGAGACACCCATCACCCCCCCGGCCGGCCGTTCCTCTATGCAAACTTCTGATTCCCCGGCCAACAAAATCAAAGGTTATTAATTAATCTTATTTAGCTGTTTAATTCATTATTCTCCAACTCTAATAATAATTTAGCCCATACACAAAGATTTTATGAAATAATAATATAATACTACGTAATATATAATTCAATGTTCATGTCTCTCTGTAGATCCGGTGGGTGATTACCAATCGTCAAGGGATTATTATTAATTATTACCTATCTTCCATCAGAGGACATTTTCTTTGTCTTCATATACACATCCAATTTATTAGAGTGTATTCATCTGAGGTATGTTGAATCAATTATAAATTTATTTATCACAAAGAAAATATAAAAATAATGCACATTCATTATACTTATGTTAATTAATTTCAGGTATTCTAAAATATCGGAATTATTATCTTTGGGGGAAAATGGGTGCTTGTGTCTCAACACAATCCCAAATGATTGGGATGAGGAAGAAGCGCCTCTTCAGGCGACGTCGTGGGAAGGCGGTCATTCGGGGTGCTGGGGATGGGGTAACTGATTTTTCTGTCAGTGAATTTGTTCATACCACCACCACAACATGTCGACGATCCGCCGTGTCTAACTCCACCTTCCACCTCACTCAGCGCCAATGGCAGCATACCCAAAAAGGTTCCAATGGTATGCAATATACATCGGCTTCGTATAAAAATATTAACTAACATATAAAGTCTTGAGATACTCTTTAGAACTCCAAATCTTAACATGGAATGACTCTCTATCTATAGCTCCCTTCTCTCACTTGTAATTTAGAAAGACAACATGTTTATTTTGCCAATGAAAATGTTAGAATTACTTTAATTCCATGTAATGAATGGCTTGTTAGAGTTTAATGTGTCTCACTAAGACTTAGGTTACATCCTAAAGCTATAAGGCATGATTTATATCTTTATACATGGCCGGTGTATGCTTGTTTAAGGTGATTGAGTTAAACCGAGATTGGAAAGTTGGAATCCAACAAATTGGACATTCTTAATAGTATATGAATGTTTGGAGTATATATAGTCTATTTTCTTACAACTTTCATGGAATTTCTGAATTTGAAGCTATACTTAAATTAGATATACAATTATCACAGTGATTAACCAAGAAGAGGCCTGGTTTGACACTTCTAGCATTCTGGATTCTGAATCAGATGAGGACTTCAGCAGTGTTTATGGAGGTAATAATAAATAATATACATAAATAAAATTAATCATATCTATGTTAGTAGTAAATTATTTCCTGACCTTATTAGTCACTTCTGTAATAATTAAATGTATGAAAGTTCTTTCTTTTCTGGCGTTAGATTTTTTCCCAGGCAGACTAAGTGGGCAAGTAGTACAGTATGAAATCCATGAAAGATATCTAAAGCTGGATGTGAGTAAAACAGACAACAAGCTCACAGGGAGAGATATCAAGGAGCCAATAGGACTTGCCCTCTTAACTACCACACACTATGGACCGAAAAAATTGGACCGCGGTTATGGAAGCTTCAATTCTTTGAAATCTGATCCAACATGCGAAAGCGGCTTCAAAGCTGTGTTACCTAAGTTGGGCGCTTCTTTTAGTTTCAATGACAAAATCATTAGTGCATCTAATGTTGGAATTTGCTCTCAAACCAGGAAATCCACTGTCATAAGGTTATCTGTAACCAAGACACGGGTTGATGGACATGAAGCAGATGTTCTTTGTAAGTTCAACATTATAGTCATGTCCATTTGTTGCGATCCATAAAAATCATGCACTGCGCTTGTTTAAAATAATTTTTTGTTTATAGGTTCACCAAAAAAATACCTTTACCGTCCAAGAGCTGGGCTTTTAATTCCCTGTTGTACAGAAGAGAAACCGAGCTCAGGAACTTGGTCTGCAATTCAGCCCTCAAATTTTAAGCTTCGGGCTGAGAGTTATTTTGCGTATGCTCTTCTTACCTCCAGTTTATTATCACAGATAACCAGTACTACATGTTAAGTTCCACATCAAACAAATAAAAAAAAGTACAAACATCAAATAAGATGTTAGGCTATTCCTCTAGTGCTTTTTAAAATATATGATATCTCAAGTCTTAGGGTACTACCTTGTCCTAATAAAGAGTTGCATATTTTTTATGAGTGATAACCTCTGTTCTAAAAATCATTCTAAGCGTTCGATTAGTCCCCGCCTAGTCGCTAGGCGGTGGTCTGGCGTCTCGATTTTTGTCTAGGCGCTCTGACTAATTGGTTAGCCATCTAGGTGAATTAGATGGCCGCCTATGGCACCTAGTTGCCCGCCTAGAGCGCCTAATCGGCCGCGCACCTAGGTCGTCTGTTACCGAACATTACTTTACCTTTTAATTTTAAATTTTTAAGCGCTATACATACGTTAACTTTAGTCATGGATATAAAGAAATGAAGTTGTAAATTAAGATAAACCTATATATTTTTGTACCTATACCCAAATTTTATCATTATTTATATTTATAACATAATGAAGTTAACTGATTAGTTATCATATACTACCTCCATCCCTTAAAACTTTGTCAAAGTTGACCGGCATAGAGAATAATAAAGTAAAAACTGTGTGGTTGAGGTTTGTGCAGAGGAGAGAGAAATAACAGAAACCACAAAATAATTGATTAAAAGGGAAAGTGGCAAAGTTTTTTGGGACGTCCGAAAAAGGAAAGATGGTAAAGTTTTAAGGAACGGATGGAGTACTACGTATGATTAAATGTGATAATTGTGTCATTCATGTTTGTTAATGTATATGTATACATATTTTTACACACAAAAATACAATATTACTTATCATATTTATGCAAAAATATAGATAAAAATGCATTTTTTATGTCTCCGACTAGTCCCTGACTAGGCGCTGGGCTGGCGCCCGCCTAGCGCCTACGTCTAGCGCCTAACGCCTTTTAGAACATTGGTAATAACTAATAAGACAGTATCACGAAAAAAAGAATTCTTGGGAGACAGATGGAACACTTGTTTTTGGACAAATGTGTATTTTAATACGTGGTGACCATATTGTTTTTTGGACAAATATGATGGAATAAAGCAAAATGACTCACTAAACTGTCTGCGCTTCTCTGTTATGGAGCAGCAGTCAGTCCATGCAATTTTCGACGCGATTTTCACTATGGGTCATCCAGAAACAGTCTCTATGTGCTTTAGTACAGGGGTAAGACTACGTACATCCGACCCCCCTTACCCCACCGTAGGTGGGAGCCTTTGCGACACTGGGGTAAATGAAAATGAAAATGAAATGATTCAGTGGTGACGTTAATGTTCATTTTACTCTTTTAAACTGTTTGACAATGTGGTACTTTTGAAGTGATTGTACTGACTACATAGTCATTTATTGTTAATGAGTTCTATGTTTGCAATATTTTGGAAAAAAACTCATATATTACACACATTTTCAATCTTCAGAGACAAGAAGAAATTACCTGCCCCAATCTTTTGTCCTTATACCCCTATTGGAGTTGATATATTTGTGTGTCCAAAGAAGATCAACCACATTGCACAGTACCTTGAACTTCCTTCTGCAAGGACAGATGAAAACCTTCCTTCTTTACTCATAGTTAACATTCAGGTATAGAAACACATCTTTTATTGAAAATTATAATCTTTTAGCCTTGTAACAAATTCATGTACTTAAAAGTTAACATCCCTCATTAATAATGTTCCTTCAGCTGCCTTCATATCCACCTGCAATGTTTCTCGGAGATTGTGATGGGGAGGGATTGAGCCTTGTGTTGTATTTCAAACTTTCTGAAGGTTATGAGAAAGAAATATCCCCTCAGTTTCAAGACAGCATTAAGGTAAATTATGCTAAAGAATTTGCCCCACGTCGACCCAATATGAAATGGCAAACTCATATTCAGAAATTTAGATTACTCTTCCAAATTCCAATCAATAGGAAGTCTTAATAAATCTAATTTTGTACGTAGTATTTGTGAACAAATGGTCTTACCTCCACACCTATTATTCTGAAGTTGTATTGTTTGTTTTCTTTGTGATTTTGGTTTGTAATGTCTTGTAGAGATTAGTTAAAGATGAAATGGAAAAGGTTAAAGGATTTGCAAAAGATTCAATGGTTTCGTATAGAGAAAGGTTGAAGATAATGGTTGGAGTGGTAAATCCTGATGGTCTTGTATCAAATTCAACTGAGAGGAAACTTCTGAATGCATACAATGAAAAGCCAGTGCTTTCCCGCCCTCAACACAGCTTCTACCAGGTTAGTTTTGGCAAACTACATTCCATCAAATAATTTCTGAAGGCTTTGATACCATATTGAAGGATATATTCCATTCAAATTCATTACAGGGTTCGAATTACTTTGAGATTGATTTGGACATCCACCGCTTCAGTTTCATTGCAAGAAAGGGACTTGATGCATTCAGAGAACGTTTAAAAGACGGAATTTTGGATCTTGGTTTGACAATCCAGGTAATTATGTACATTAGTGTAAAAATCTGTGTCTGCATGCTAGACCCCAAATGTGCCATCTCGCAAGCGCCTAATATCTTCTTAAATGCAAACTAACTTATAAATCATGGAACCATAAGGTTTAACTTTTTAAGATGGAACTCCAAGTATGTCTATCTTTATGTACCTTAGGGTATTGAAGACTTCCAGCAGCCTTATTTCTTCACAACTTATTTATTTCATTTTTTGGCATCAACAGGCGCAAAAACAGGAAGAGTTGCCAGAGAAAGTGTTGTGTTGTTTAAGATTAAACAAGATCGATTTCGCGGATAAGGGGAAAATCCCAACACTGATGAGGGTAGAGGATAATGAGACTTCCCAGAGCGGCATTCGTGGACTGCTAACAGATGCATGAGGAAATGTCTGTGATTATATCATAGCATTAAAATGAGTTCGATATTGCAAAGTACCCAAGGATGCAAGCAAGCAATTACATTCTTCTTCCCCCCTAACATGTATAAATTGTAAAGTTAAAATGTTAAACTAAAAAAATAATTGTTATATTATCATGCCATAGGATCAAGTCATGGAATATTGTAAATTGTGATGAATTCCATGAACAAAAAATCCACTATTTTTGAGTTTAATGATTTTTAATTTTTTCACCTTTATTCACACAATAATTATTATGTATACACTATAGATTTGGCGCTACGGAGGTATTTACTTCGTCTCTGCGGAAACAAAGCTCTTTGGGATTTTGGATTGATTTTAGTTAGAAAAGTGGTTACTTTGAGTTTTCTGCAATAAATACTCATATTTGGTTCATATAGCATTTAGTTTTAGAAAATTCAACTTTTCCAATTATATACACTTTAAACCAGATAAGGACATGAATGTATGCCAAACAACTCCATTAAAGAACACATAGTTGAGAATACATATTTATATTGAACCAGAAGGCATCGTTCTTTATACATGAATGAATGCTTCAATTTTGTTATAACCATGCCAATGCTTATTAAAATTTTAAAAAATGATGGCAAGCCATGAAAAGCACCAAACTAAGAACATCAGCTAGAGAAAAGAAAAAAAATCAGATCACTTTGCATATCATGAGCATTTTTAAATGAAAGTGTCATCACTCTATCCAAAATACTCTTTGAGATGTTGCTCATCAGCTTTGAAAATCATTTACTACAATTGCAAACATGAAACATAGCTATGGTTAGGGCCAGCAAGATATACACGTAACCGCCAAGTGTATAACTCACTTTCTATAGATCAAATTGCAATTTAACTCTCCTGACAAACCATCTGACCGGTTCTGAGGGACTTTCGGGAACATGGTGCCTCCTTTCTTTTCATGAATCACGGATCCAGATGAATGAGAATGTACATTGAAGCCAACAAAATACAATAATATGTATACAAAAAAGAGTTTAGCACCACTCTGCTCTGTACTTTACACTCGAGAATAGAAATACATTTGAGATTTGTACATGGTTGCACTTAGCACATAAATTTTCCATTAGATTTCATTTCCAAGAAAAAATGCAGTGGTGAATGCAAAATCTGATCTGCGTTCTATGGTGCCCACTGAACCTTGAATCCATTAGTTCATTCTCCTCAAAATTTGATTGGAACCCTGATTTTTCTTAGTGCATCTCACTCCCTTTTTACATTTCATTATATTTATAAGGGTTGGAGCACAGGCGAAAGCTCAGAGAGAAGTGCCAAAAAAATCTGGAAGAACTTTATAGTTGAATGCCAGTCTTCCTTGGTTCATTCTGAGCTACAAATCTGCATAAGTTAAACAGAAATTACCTTAACATGTTTCTGACCATCAAGTTTTAGAGAAGGGTTGTTGTTTCTTTTCCTCAAAATAATTTTTATATATTCATGTATTCTTCAATTTCATATATCAATTTCATATATTCCCGTGTTCCCATAAAAGCACATGCTTGTATGGAGTTGAGATAGATTTGGTAGTCAGTTCTGACTTATTACACTTATGAGCAGAATAAGTTGCTTTTGATTGACTTCTTTGGCTGAAATGTGTGTTGCCAAACACTTTTACTCTTACAATTTTTACCTCTGTAGAAACGGGATCTACGAACAGTTTGATGGGGTCTGGTATCTTGCCTTGTATCAAACATATTTGGTTGTTGGCAAAATGCCCCTAAAAACCCAGTACTTCCTTGTGGGTCATCATTCTCCTGCATATCATTCAAAACGGCGTGAGAAGTTGAACACAATCATGGTCTCTGCGCATTTAAATTTTCATTTTTCTGCATTTTTATTTTATTAGACACATGTTTGTCATTATTTCTTGTATTATCATCTGGTCCTTTTGAATTATATGATATGAGAGTACAGTAATATCATAAGACTTTGGGTAGTTTTTCGATCTTATTGGTAATATTTTACTTATTTTGTTGAAGTAGTTGTCACCAAACACTTTTCTTTTCAGAATCTTCAACTATTTCAGGAAGATAGCCACTACCAGGCCCTCAATTTAAATGATGGAATGTGCAGGAGGAGCAATTCTAACCAATGATAGCTTTCTTGAGTGATACATATCAGATGAGTCAAATGACTGTTGTTTTCCCGATTTTAACCGCTGCTTGTGAAGAGCACGCTTATCAATCATATCTGGGCTTCTAGCTTGAGTATGGAAGTCATCTGACAAGTGATCCAAGACATTACATTTTAGACCTTTTGAATTGACATTATTAGTGTGAGTCCTTCGACCTGCATAGTCTTGTTTTTTGTTCTTTTTCCATTTCGAACTAGAAGACATTTCTAGAGGGGCAGAGACAGCTGTTTCAGCTTGTGATAAATCTGTCGTTGCTTGAGAAACCTCGGACGTTGTATCATATGATGGTTTTAATGAAATTCGTGACACTGTAGCTCCTTTAGTAGCACGAGTCCCGCCACCAACATTGTTTCTACGAGAAAATGGAATGTTGGCCTCCATCTCCTTTATGCAAGCAAGCACACTAGTTAGCATGTATGTATGTATAGAGTGTGGTCAAAATATTAGTGAATTCAGATAATACTTTCATGACTTGGATTTCGATCCTAAAATTTATACTAGATAGAATGAGTAATTCAAAACTTTGTATGTGAACTAGTATCCCTTTGGTTACATTTTTTACTAGGCAAATAGGTGTTCAATTGTCTTAAAAGTCACTCTAGGATAAAGAAATCTGAGATCAATGCGAACAATAAGCATAAAAAAAGGTAGACACAATTTTCATTGCAACTACTAGATAGTGAACAAAGGTGAAGCTCAAACTGTAATGACAAGGAAAATCAATGGTATCCAAAGGCATGACTTATATTTGAATCCTATATGAGATGACTTAACGTGTCCTGCAAAATGATGGTTAATTTAGTTTAGCAATCTTTAAATTTGTGTGCTCGACATTGAGGCTTGCTAGGATTGTTGCTCATAGTAGATTACAAGATTTTAAAATAATATTAAGACTTGAGACTTTGGATAGTTCATCTTAAAAGCACAATCAGATATTTGACATGCAAATGAAGATGTCTTTACATTTTCCTAAATTCAAATTTGAAGGGAAAGTAAAAAAATATTCATTCATATAAACTTTTCTAAACAAATATTCTTTTTATCAAACATTAGTGGGTCAAAGCCCAGTTGGCCACCTAGATACACTAGTACATGGGCCATTTTTAGAAGAATATAGGGTGATATAAAGAGACAGACCTGCATTGGAAGAGCTCTACAGAAACTGATAGATTCGTGTAGATTTTTTCGGACTTTTCTAGGATGTTTGGAAGCTCCATAACCTCTTGCTGCATAAATTGCATTCCTTCTGAAAATGCAGGTATAATCCAAATTGAGATCATTCATTATAAGAGCAAATGTCAAAATGTGTGACATGGAAGCATAAAACAATAAAGGAATCAAGCAGCACCTTCGTTCATCTTCACGGGATTTTGCATCAATCTCTTTGTTCGGAGGGTACTTCTGCAAGCTCCATGGATCACAAGGGTATGGCGTTGAACTAAAATACTACAAGTCACAAAAATGATGATCCATTAAAATTGTGGAATAACTCACCCAAAAGCTACTCCTTACACTCAATGTAGCAGACATTTAGGAAAAGACTACATATTAAAAAATATTAAAAAATCGTACATTTGTGCCTATAAAAATTCAAAATTGAATGCAACTCATATCTTTTTAATGCAAAATAGCATTTATTGTGAGGAAAGTAAAAAGGGATGATTTGAGAGATTAATGCAATTTGTGCATTGAGTTTCAGAAATGCGATTATGTTTTGCAAAAAAATACTTTAAAACGAAAAATATTTTTGAACAGGGAGAAGGGGGGTATTCATTAACATCCAACCCCCACGTGTAGGCAGGTGGAGCAAAAATTGAACTTGCCTCGGAGGCAAGTGTCGACGAAGCAGTTCCACGCTTACACGGTTCTATTGCAAGAAGTGTTTCTAAGAGGTCCACAGCGGCTTCGGGGAATTCTCTACATCGCTCTCGGAGTGTACTCTCATAAGGATGTTGCGGTTTGAACACAGTTGCAAGTGAAAGCTTAGCCTTTTTCCAGTAATCCTCTGGCGGAGAACCACAAAGCTTAAAGATTTTGTGTAGTTGTTCCACCTATAATAAATAAGGTCAGTTTAGAAAAGAAAAAAGATAACATTTTGAAGAAAGATGTGATCATCAGTTGCACACCTCAGTTCTCCCTTTAAGGAATGGTCTCCCACAAAAGAGTTCAGCAAAAACGCAACCTGCGCTCCATAAATCAACCGTCGCCCCATAATTTGTCGACCCCAGCAACAGTTCAGGAGGTCGATACCACAGGGTCACCACGCGGCTGGTAAGTGGTTGCATGTTTTTTGCATTAATGAAGTTTGCAAGTCCAAAGTCAGCTATCTTCAAAACCCCATTATTGTTTACTAGAATGTTGGAAACTTTGATGTCTCTGTGTATTACGCCCGTTGAATGGCAATGCTCCAATCCCAACATCAGCTGCTTCATGTAGCATTTGATCTTGTCCCAACATATGCCAAAGGGAAAAAAAAGCATGAGCTGAAACTGTTGCTGGACTACACTAAAATTAAAACTTGCATTATATTCTAAAATGTCTAACTTATGTGGAGGAAGATTTCAATAGCTCATATGCTGAATTTTTATTTCGTAATTAGTTAATACGGAGAAATTTTTCTTCATCGCTTCTATCACTCGAACACATTGACCGAATTGTGCAATTTTTAACTTATTCCCTCATAATAGTCAGATACATAGTTTGAGCCATGGACTTTTTCATAAGAGGACATACTCTCACGGCCCCAAAATTCTTCTTAACTGTGACTTTTTCATTTTTTCATAAAAGACCACATCAAAACTATGATACCATATTAAAGTGAGGTCCATAATAGTCAGTCTGATACATATATAGTCCAAGATACGTTCATTTATTATTTTGGCTATGATTGGTTTTTAGTGTTTGAGTCAAAACGCCAAAAGTCATTAAACTTGAAATGTTAAAAAATGCAGCGTGTTGGGTTAGCTTTTCTTCCAATCCGCCAAAAACCAAATACATCCTTTATTACAAACCTGTGACTCAGTGAATCTGATGTCAGGAGAAGAGAGCAATCCAGCAAGGTCATGTTCCATGTATTCAAAAACGAGGTATATGCTACAGGATAACTTGGAAGTAATTATTCCCTCCAGTTTCATGATGTTTGGATGATCAAGCCTGCGAAGAATTGTTATTTCTCGTGCCATAAACCTTACACTATCTGCTTGGAAATTGTCGAACCGGACCTTTTTCAATGCAACCATTCTACCACTTTCATTTTCCCGTGCTCGGTACACTGTGCTATATGTACCTTGTCCAATCTATTATACAAACACCGAACATAACGAATCAATCATATGCACGGGAAATTCTTGCATGAATGGGGGTATGTTGTATATAAATGCTTGTCCATCATGCATTGCTATGTTGTAGATACGGGTTCAAGCATGTAGAGCCAAAGGTCATGTGGATGAGCTTTCCCATATAAAGATCTTATAAGGCAAGAAATTTAAGAGGATTCTAATGTTTAGTTATAAATGTGCAAATCTTGATTTCATATAATTTTCTGGATTGTTTTTTGCTTTTGTTATTATTCATAAAAATTATGTTAAACATTGTGTTCCATAAAAAGTTCTCAGAAATTAAATTGAAATGGGAAAGAATATCCTTTTGGAAGTACATATTACGTAGTAGTTAATTACCTTATCTAATCTTTGGAACATGTCAGCTCTAAGAGGAAGCCAACCGTCGACGGCCTCTCCGGCAACGGAAGTGAGCCAGGTCGGCCAACCGGCAGCTATTTGTTCGCATTGCGTCAACCTTTCGGCAGGGATGCTAAAAGAAATATGGTTTTCTGGAAGCTCATTCTTCATCACCATCGAATTCCCGGAACGTCGTGTAGAGGACGACGAAGAGGAAGAAGAAGAAGATTTGGGTGCCTCGAGTTTATCGTTCTCAGGCTCAACCCGGATCTCCCTAGAGGATCCGAGCCCGGATTTGAGCTTACCCGAACCAAACTGCGATCTTTTCCCGCTGGCATTTCGGTGGTGAAGGGATGGCTCGCGAGGAGGGGAGATATTGGAGCGAGCCTTCTTGGAGCTGACGCAACCCATAGTGATCCCCCAAAACCCATCAAAATGAAAAAACGGGCATTCGGATTTTGGGAGATCGGATTTGACAACCCGGATTAATGAAGTTCCCCTGGCCACATTACCAGCTCATCTGGTCTGCGTGGGGAAATCTCGTGAAGAAGAAAAGAGACAACTACAAAACATAGGAGGAGAAGAAGAGAGAAGAGAGAGAGGGGGGGGGGGGGGGGGGGGGTAATTGGTTATGAAAAGGGGAAAAGGGTAGCCTGTCGTCAACGGGATGGTCAAAGATTTTCATGCAGGCTCTCATTGGAGGGTAGCCACACATGTGGGAAACGGTAGGGCCCATCAACATCGACTTCTCCGAAAGCAAAGGAACTGATGATTTCATTACTTTTGTCTTTTTGTTATCGTGTTTTGGGAGAAAAAGTATATACCAGGATCCTTCTTTAACAGAGAGTTGCCAAGTGCCAATCAGCCAAGTCAGAGAATAGATGACTTTCTTTCATTTTATTTTTGCATGAACCTTAAATTACACTTCGTGATTTGAAACCTGTGGTTTCTAAGATTAACTTCCCATAATGTTAAATATTTTCGAGCAATTAAATCAATTTTATTAATTAAGTTTTGCATTTTCAAAGATTACGTCGAAAACTATATAAAATCACAAAATTCAAATCAAAATATACTCCGTAATAAAAATTTGATATTTTAAATAAGTAAACAAAATTATACCGTGTTTATAAAAAAAGTAAACTTTATAAATCATTTTAAAACACAAATAAATAACTATACAAAAAATATACAATCACATGACATTTCCTCCGGACACACAAAAATTTGAAATATTTTAAAAATATACACTCACATGCTTATTTTGTAAAAATATACATTCACATGATTATCTTTTAAAAATATATATTCACATGATTATTTATAAAAATGTTTTTTAAAAAAATATATGGTCATAACAAAACAGGAGGCACAAACACCAAACTAGCTAGGCCGCATTCCGGCCATTCAAAACACAGTAAAAAACAATAGAAATTGCTCTAAATAGGAGAAAAAACGTTTTAAAATTCCACAATAAGAGTATCATGTTTTTTATTTCCTAAATAGGAGTAATCTGTCATGTTTGGGAAAAAATGTCATGTTTTAAAGCCTAATAATGTCAAATTTGGCAGAAATTTACTCATATTCAAGGAATAGAAAACATGATAGTCCTATTTCGGAATTTCAAAACTTTTTTACTCCTATTTAGGAAATTCTCCCAAAAAATAAGCCCCAAGTCCCCCAAACTAGGGGATACACTACTAGACTCCACAAACTGCTAAAAGGAAGTGATACCAAAAGACTAACACATCAAACATAACAATTATATGACTTGAAAGGTCAATCATATTCAAAGGATACAACATTACAACCTATACCAATATTAGCAATTTGTTTAACCATTTTATTAGCAATTGTTCTATTGCCTCCAAACCGACCCATATTTCTTTCTTTCCAAATATATACTTTGCATCCCATTATCCATGGACGGACCTATAGTATAATGAGGGTAAGCACTAGCTTCACCTCAAAAAGTGCTACTAGCCTAGGTGGTAGTAGCCTAAAAATTAAAATTCCCATTAGGCATCAGGTCAGGAGTTTGAATCCCCTTTTGGCTACACTCGGTTTTTTTATACTTCTCTGCTACTCAATAGCCATTTTTATTACACGGATCATGCGAATGGGCTTTTAATTTCCTTTTCCCTTTGTTAGACTGGGTTGTATGTACTTAAAATTTAACACTTTTGCAATTAAAATTTAAAACACATCCATTCAAAATCCCTAACCTAAAAAAAGCTACGTATCTTAGCCAGCAGCAACACAACTACACAAGAATGTCCAGCCTCCGGCGATTCACTCGATTCTCTCGAATCTGCCTTGGATTTATTTGAGGTTTATTTCTTTAATACTAAAGCTTCAATAGTTAATGATTACTATTATCAACTTGGCAACTTATCATTGTTCGAATTATTTATTACTAACATTCTAACAATGAATCCATTATTTGTGTAAAAAATTGCAGAGCAATAGTAGAGGACCAGAGCTGACTCAAGGTTTTATTTTACATTTTACACTCTGATTCTAAATTATTAAAGCATTAAGGCAGTTTATTATTATAATTGTATTCTTTAATCTCCATTTTTTCAACGTACTTCACATTCAATGATTAATGAATTAATTATATAAACAACTAGTGTAGTTTTACTTTCCTATGTCATTAATTTTATATTTGTAACTAGGGAAAAATAACAATAACTGATTTTATTACTTCCCTATTTGTATAGATACAATGTCCATGTATAATTTTGTCACCGTTACAAGATCACGTCGTGATATAATTCAAAATGAAGCTAGTGGGTCTCATACTTTTAAACAACCTCGGATTGAGGTCAATGTAGATGATTTGCCCAGAGACCCCGGATTACGTCCAAAACTTAGTAGTTATCATCCAAATGATCAAGACAAAGTGAGAAGGTTTTATTTGCAAAAAGGGCCTTGTCAGCCGCGCACTCATAATTTTCCTCAACGAGTATTTGGTACTAAGGATGCGTTTACTTCGTTGCTAAAGTCACAGTTAGGTTAGTAAGACATGTGAAGTAAACACGCAAGTTGCTTAAAACGCTACTTACTAACCGAAAGAGGTGCTTAAAGTGTCGCTTACTAAGCATACCACCCCCCCATGTATCAATTAAGCGGCACTATAATCTTTTTCAGTTTCCGAATTTACCCTTACCTTTTCCCCTTGCCCTTACCCCAACCCCACCCTGACCCCCACCCACACCCACCCCTTAACACGACCATACCCCACCCCCACCTACCCCGACCCCTCAACCACTTGCCCTACCCCACCCCCTCACCCCTTACCCTATCCATGTACCCCCTACCACCTTCCCATACCTTGACCTGACCCCAACCCCACCCCTACCCCCGTCCCTACCCCTTTACCCCCCTACCCCCTACCCCTACCTCGACCCACCTCTACCCCACCCCCATCCTTCACCCGACCATACCCCACCCCCACCTTACCCCTACCCTACGAGTTGGGGGGTTGGTATGGGTGGGAGTACGGGTGGAGGGTAAGGTCGTGGTAAGGGTAGGGGTAGGGAAGGGGTGTGGTCAAGGGTGTGGAATTAGGGGTAGGGTGAGGGGTGGGGGTACAGGGCAAGGTAGGAGTTAGGGGTGTGGGTAAGCCACTAAGCGTACGAGGTGACCCCACATATTATATTATATACTTGTGTTCATGAATGTTTGTGTGTGTTAATATCTATAGGGTTATTTTGGACATTTTAATGTTAAACAATGTTTTAAATCGTTTGAAGTAAACATGAGCTTACTACACTGCTTATTTTATACGCCGCTTATTAACGCGAGTCTTAATAAGCACCGTTTACTAACCCGTGAAGTAAACGTGTCCTAAGTCCAGAAGATTTTGCCCCTCTTGGTTCAATGAATTTGAAAGTTGGTTAGAATATAGCATAGAAAAGGATGCTGCATATTGTTTGCATTGTTATCTATTTAGAATTGATTTTGGAAAACAGTCTGGTGGAGATGTATTTGTTACCACAGGATATTTTCTAACTGGAGTGTTAAGGGCAGACTTCAGAATCATGTTGGAGTGCCAAATAGTGCACACCATATTGCTTACAAAAAGGCTGAAGATTTGATGAAACAAATACAACATATTGATGTTGCCATCTCCAAGCAGTCCGATCAAGTTCGTGAAATATATCGGCGTCGATTATCTGCTTCACTTACTTGCATTCGCTTCCTTTTGAAACAAGGGTTACCTTTTCGTGGCCATGATGAATCTGAAGCATCTTCTAACCAGGGTAACTTTCTTAAACTTCTAAAGGTTCTTGCATCTTGTAATGAAGATATAAGAAAATGTGTTTTGCAAAATGCCCCTGATAATCATCGCTTGACTGCCCCTAAGATTCAAAAGGACATTGTTCATGCTTGTGCTACCGAGACCATCAAAGCAATTATAAAGGACCTTGGTACTGAATATTTTTCTATTATTGTTGATGAGTCTCGGGATGTATCCATTAAGGAAGAAAATGGCCATTGCTTTACGTTATGTTAACAAAAGTGGAAGCATTGTTGAGCATTTCATAGGAGCGGTTCATGTGAAGGATACTAGTGCTTTGACTTTGAAGAAAGGGATTGAGCTGGTATTTAGTAAGTATGGATTAAGTGTATCGAGGATACGGGGACAAGGTTATGACGGGGCTAGTAATATGCAAGGTGAATTTAATGGGCTTAAGAGTTTAATTTTGAAAGAAAATTCATCTACTTTATGTATTCATTGCTTTGCTCATCAGTTGCAACTCACACTTGTTTATGTAGCAAAAACACATGATCATGCTGCTTTGTTTTTTGGTTTAATTGCTACACTCATCAATATTGTTGGGGGGTCATGTAAGCGATACGACTTGCTTCGTGAAACACATGCAGCTAAAGTTAAAGAAGGAATTGAAAAAGGTGAAATTCAGATAGGGCGAGGCATGAACCAATGAATTGGTTTGAAGCGAAGTGGTGAAACTCGTGGGGGTTCACATTATGGCAGTCCGATTAGTTTAGTTCAAATGTATTCCTCGGTGATTGATGTTCTTGAAGTTATCAAAGAAGATGGGGTGACTTCATATCAAAAGGGTGAGGCTATGCGACATTTAGACTCTATACAAACTTTTGAGTTTGCATTCTTTTTGCATTTGATGAAGACTGTCTTGGGAATTACGAATGAACTATCTCAAGCATTGCAAAGAAAGGATCAAGATATCCTAAATGCGATGCAATTGGTATCTATTGCGAAGGAACGTTTGCAAGATATGAGAGATAATGGATGAGATCCATTATTAGAGGAACTGTATGTGTTTTGCAGAGTTCATGATCTTGGCATTCCTGATATGGAAGACAAATTTATACCAAAAGGCAGGTCGCGGCGCAAAGCTAAGGGTATCAAATACTGGGAGCATTATCGGTATGACTTGTTTTATACAATTGTGGATATGCAACTTCAAGAACTTAATTACTGTTTTAGTGAGTCCAACAAGTTGCTTCTTTGTTTGAGGTGTTTGAGTCCATACAAGTCCTTTGAAGCATTTGACAAGCTCAAGTTGATTGAATTTGCTACATTTTACCCAAGTGATTTCTCAAGTATAGAGTTGGTAGTTCTTGAAAATCAGCTGGAGACTTATATATTGATATGTGAAGTAATGATGAATTTTCAGAGTTGAAAGGAATTGCTTGCCTCGCAGAGATGTTGGTGAAGACGGAGAAACATCGTGTTTATCAGTTCGTTTATTTGCTTCTGAAGTTAGCACTGACATTACCTGTTGCTACAGCCAAGGTTGAAAGAGCTTTTTCAGCGATGAAAATTGTGAAAATCGAGTTGCGAAATCAGATGGGAGATGATTGGATGAATGATTGTTTAGTTCCTTATATAGAAAGTGATGTGTTTGATAGCATTGACGATGAGTTAATTATTCAACACTTTCAAAATATGCAAGCACGATGAGGACAACTATAGAGGTACGTTTTCTTTTACTATATCTATGTATTTTATTTATTTAGCCTTTTTTTATTCACATGTAGTATATTATTCATGTTATATATGTGCATACACTGAGCTTCGATGACTAGGTCCGCCACTCCCATTATCCCAAAGCAATCATAATTGTTTTGTTGATTTGTCTTGCACCTCTTAAATCCTTCCTAAAACACTTTATAGCGATGTGAAGTTTAGCGATCCATCTTCTCACTCCCATCCACTTGCAAAGGTTCCCCCAAATGAAGCCAATAGTCGGGCACCTATAAAACAAAATGGTCAACTATTTCCATCTGGCTTATGCACCAATTACATGTCATGACCCTTTCCAAAAACCATAAGTTTTCGGTCGTTGGGAGTTTTCGGTCTTTGGGAAAATTTTCAAATAACGCTCATCCAAATTCCAAAGTTTACTCACTCTTTCTAATAGAGAAAATATATGGAACACACTTAGATTTTGACCAATCGAGTACACTGACGTGATGAATAGTCGTGATTATTTAAATATTTCGAATCTTAGTCATTCATCACACCAGCATGCTATATATATATAGGGAGCGGATCAGATGAGAAGTGCTCTTAGGCTGAAAACTGCGAAGTTTAACTAATAGATTAAAAACACGAACTTTTAACCAATAAATCATAACTTATAGACCCCGTCAAAAATAATTATAAAAATGCCACCGCAAAAAAAAATAAGCCTTGAAATCTTGAAATTTTTTGGACGCGGTGGCATTTTCGTAATTATGATGGAGAGTTTTATAAGTTATGATTTATTGGTTATAAGTTCCTATATTCAGTCTATAAGTTTACTGCGTTTTAAGATTAGATACAAATCTAAGGGCTGAGATTGCTTCTCCTTCTCATTTTAAGAGGGACTTCTCACCTGATCTTTTCTCTCTCTCTCTCTATATATATATATATATATATATATATATATATATATATAACCAAGCATTCGAGCCCAGCTGATTGTAAGGTTCCTGTGCCTAGTGGGAGGTCTCAAGTTCGAAACCCGCTAGGCAAATAAGAGTTTGAAACTCAATGGATTGAGTTTCAGCCCTGATTACTCCAGACCCCCTCCCTCAGTCCCTCTGGAGTAATATATATATATATATATATATATATATATATATATATATATATATATATATATATATATATATATATATATATATATATATATATATATATATATATTCCCATTTCTTCTGAGCACCTCAATACCTCATAAATTTGAGATGCGGCCAACTTACCATTAAGAGAGTGAGCCAAGCGTTTGTACAAAATTCACGTAGTTACCAAAACTATCAAGTAGTGCCCCTTTAATACTAGTCAATTTTTTAAGAAGATGAGAGGATTTGTTACTGGGTCTTTTTTTTTTTGAAAGACTATTGGGTCTTTCACTCTTTCTTGAAGATTATAGAGCTCTCTTCAACTAGTCTTATTAGGTCTTGGTAAATGATGTAAGCATAAAAAAAATTCTATTATTGCAAATTCATCACTTAAACGTATATGCTAAAAAATTACTCGTATCATATAAACATATTTACTTTGGAAGCTCTATAAATCCAACTTTTTTACTGGTTTAAACTTTTATAACAGTACTTTTTTATTTTCTTAAATTGATAAATTTGCAAAAAGTCATAATTTCCTTGAAATATAGAGATGTGAATAAAAAACGTATAAATGCAAAATAGATACTCAGTGAATGATTTAAAAAGTTAAAATAAAAAAATATTATAATCTAAATAAGATTTTAAAAAAATATACAAATATTTAAGAAAATGTAGAATAAACAAATTATTGAAAAAGCTCCCAAAAAAAAGTACAGGCTTTGACATAATTATTTAGCATTTTTGAATTCTTCAAAAAATGATTTGCCATATGGGTTTAAAATTTGATAAATCCGGAATTGATTGTTATTTCAAAACAAGCATGTTTATATAATATTTTGTTTTCCGTAAATGTTTAGTTAGTGGACTTCAAATATTAGAAAGGTCTATTTGCTTCTTTTCTCAAGAACTAATTTGTCCAACAATTTTCTTAAAGACAAACAAGCTTTTGAAAATCAAACCTAGGGAGAAACACTTCAATAGGAGTAAAAGATGTGCTATGAACGTAAATAAGACCGAGCACTTTTTTTACCCTAAATAAGACTACTTTTGACTCAAAGGGACAAAAATACCCTTAGACAAGAGTACGCACTATTACCCAGCCACCAACATACAATCCATTCGGTCATGCCTCTCCCCGGAAGAGCCAATTGCTGAAGATTCAGGCCTTTGGGCAAGAGAAATTGTACTCTTCGGTGCCGATTCGAGATCCTTTGTGTCTACTGCCGGTCTTCCGCTGGATGTCGTCGGAGTGCTCTGCCGCAGGTCGTTGCTCTGCCACATGTCATCGCCGGAGTGCTCTGCAACAGGTCGTCGCTCGGTGGTCGCAAGTCACTTCTGCTTTTACTGTTGGTTGCATCAAGCTGTCGTCGGACTGGTGTCGTCAGAGTGGTCGTCGGCGTGAATCATAACCCAAGTGGTCTGCGGCGAGAAGCCTCCGGCGCGAATCATCGCCCTCTTCTTGTTCTTCTTCCTTCCGAGCCTCCTCTTCTCCCTCTTTTTCTTCTTCTCCCCCGCTTCATCCTTGTGCTCGATGAATGTTCGTAGTTTCTGTACTCGGATGAATGCTCGTAGTTTCTGTTCTTGTTTTTACTTTTTTATTTTGTTTTACTTTTCAATTTATTACTTACCTTGTTACTTTTTCTTTTCTACTAGTAGTTTTTTATACTTTAGCTTATTTTGCAAATTTAGCTAATGAATTTAATTTTCTTTAAAAGGTTTAGTATTTATTTTGACAAATCTTTTTCTTTGATAATGAAATGATAAACATTTATGTTTATATTGTAATGCCAATATTAATTACAGTCTTTATTTTCCTAGATTGTTTGCACTGTGTTGAAAAATGAAACTAAGTTACATCGTTAAAGTTCATGACATTGTTTATTATACTCACATTAATTGAGTTACAATGGTAGATCTTCACATTGACAAGTGACAACAAAATTTGCATGAAATTATCTCTAGCATTGTGATAATTGTTTTACAACACTAGAAATTTTATTCTGAATTAATATTGTGACATTGTCACATTGTGTAATATAATTGTGACATTGTATCTTTTTTGTTGATAATAATATGATATTATGACATTGTTAAAAAGTGTCATTATTTTTATCGATGAAATGACATTTTTAACACTGTCATTATCGTGAAATGACATTGTATTCATTGATGACATTGATATTATTCTAACCATTATATTATAAAATATTATGACAATGTCATTGACATTATTATTGACATTGTGGTCGGAGTTGTCTATACACAATGACATTGTCACGAAGTTTTTGAAAAATGACATTGTCAAAAATTAAATGTCAATGATAATGACATAGCAATGTCAATGACATAACAATGTCAATGACATTGTCGTGGCAATGTCAATGTTAGAAAAATGACATTGTTAAAAACGATGCCAATGTGACATTATTGTAAACATTGTTAAAAAGAAATAATTGTGAGAATGTCAATGAAATTTTCGTGACAATGTCAATGTTAGAAAAATGACATTGTTAAAAACAATGCCAATGTGACATTATTGTAAACATTGTTAAAAAGAAATAATTGTGAGAATGCTACAATGTCATTATATGACTGTCATAATTAAAAGGTAAAAAATAAGTCAATAATGAAATGATAGTGTCAATGTTACAAAAATGACATTGTAATAATAGTGACAATGTCAATACTACCAAAAATGATATAGTATTAAAGTTAATGATATAAAAATGACCATCGTTAAAAACAAAGACAAATATACAAATGACACTGTTTGTTTTCTTCACACTCATTATTAACAACACAATATATTATCAATACCACTATTTGAATAAAACCATAGTGACACGTTTATCTATCTAAACGAAATGAATTGAATAAGTATTAATAAATATATAATTAACATTGTAATTTTACACAGTAATGGAGTATTACAATTCTGAAAAGGAAATTAGGAAATGCTCCTTAGAAAGAAACATTACTAGGCAAAACGAAAAGGAGAAAAGCAGACAACAAAACATTATGCAGCCAAACAAAATCAAGATGAAAACGGATCCGCCAAACAAAAACAAGAAGAAAACAAATCTGCCAAACAAAACCAAGAAGAAACGGATCTGCCAAACAAAATCAAGTAGAAGACGGAGAAAGAATTGCTACAGAAGAAAAGAAGAGGAGAAAAGAAAGAGAGGAGGAGAGGAGGAAAAGGAGCGGATCTGCAAGATCTTTGACAGGGCCTCCCGCCAAACCGCTGCACCGCCGGACCACTAGACGGCCGCATCGCCGGACCGCTAGACTATCAGACCGCTGCAACGCCACAAATTTCTGCTGGTAAAAGTAATACTTGGGTAATAAAACATTGATGCTTCTATTAATCAATATTATCAATTATGTTCACTGGCATGAATAAGGAAAAAGAACTGTATATTACCAATTTCTTCCCTTATTCTCTGCACTACAGTTTTTCTCATCATGAAAACAACCCTCATTCAATATCCCTTCCCCCCTTTGATTCCTCTCCCCTCACTATTCCAACAGACATACAGGAAGAAGATTCACTTGACAAATGTTTCCAGTTTAGCTCGCAACTTATACTACGTACACATTTGAGAAAAGGAGCTAATGCTGCTATATGGAATTCTTCTTCGAAAAGAGAACAAAAATTAAGTCGACGAGGAATGGCAAATGACACTCAAACAACATGTGAACCGGAAAGCTTATGATGCAAGTTGTTCTTCTGTGCACTGGAAATTGGATCTCTTGCTGTTTCCTACAATCCGTTTATATTATGATACAATGACGATTATTCTTGTTTGGCGGAGTAAGCAGTAGGCATATCGTGATTATGTTTGCCTTCATAAGTTGTTACCACAGCTACTGGATCTGCTGAAGCCCTTTCAACATGTTTACGAACATTGCATCCCATGTATGTGCATCGATAGTAACTCCTGCAGTGACCAATAAGCCAACTCAAACTACTATACTGCTGCTCTACAAAATCCGGTCTAGGCGCCAGGCTGCACTCCACTCCCCAGCTAGAGGCTACCCAGCACTTTTTAGAACAGTAGAGCTTGAGCATTGAGATATTTGACAAAAAGCATTTGGTAAAATAAAGTGACTGAGTTTGCAATGTAATGTTATGCTAAAGGCATATAACAAAACTAATAATAATATATTTACATGAATATATTCATTTCTATCTGAAATTTTAGCACACACCAGCGGAAAATAAATTTCATTCAAAGTGCGTGTGTATATTAAAAATTAAAATTATTCATCTTTAAAAATAATTTCTATAAGTGTAGTTAATTGTTTTATTAGTATATTTATTCTAATACGTACAAATGAATAAGTTATGCATTCATTGCTTAAGACTTATTTGGTGCAATTAATTATTGCGAGTATAAAATATGAATTTAACCTTTTTTAGGACAAACGTGTCCAAAAAAACTAAAACCTCCAAAAGCTATTTTGCAGCTTTTGGAAACCGAATAAAGCTTTAACCTTTTAGAATGATGTGAAGCTCCCAATAGCATCCATCCAAATGACACAAAAGATGCACTTAGGGCTTCTAAAAGCTCTAAATGGTGAAGACTCTCCACAATGAAGCCTAGTTATGTGACCTTATATGAATCAATAATAAAAGTGCATAATACAATATAAGAGAGGAATACCTTGGATTAGCATTCCCCTTTACCACCTTTTGCCCATATTTACGCCACTTATATCCATCATCCAAATGGTCAACTACACTTCTCCTCTGCAAAACAATCTTGGGTTCTGTGACAGTCTTATGCAATGGAGGTTGAACAGATGAACCAACCTCTAAACGCCTGCACTCAAGAGAAACTTAATACCAGGATCAGTATTTTGAGGGCCTCTTTTAATGAGGGTGGATATATAAATGAAGGCAACATTCAAAAAATTTGTCCTGTCATTCTCTGACGAAGAAAAGAAGTACAACAGATAGAAAAATTAATGAAAAGTTAATTATTATTCGCTCCCAACGTTTGGTCAAATTACCAAATGACCCTTGAGGTTTACAGAAAAAATAAGAACTGAAGCAATCAGATTTTCAATAAAAGACCTTTAATACAGAGAGACTATGGAATATAATGATATTAATCATGAATTATGCATCCTAATTCTTCATATTGACCTTGAAGTTTTTCCATCATTTCCCATGGAACCAAAGTATGTTTTGGCTTGGGAATATAATGGAATAAAACAAAATGGCTCACTAAATTGTTTGCGCTTCTTTGTTATAAAGCAGCAATCATTCCATGCAATTTTTGACTTAATTATCATCATGGGTCATCTGGAAATAGTCTCTTTGTGCTTTAGTACCGGGGTAATGTTGTTGTTGTTGTAATATTCAAAAAAATCAACTAGGCAAAAGTTGAGCAACTATTTAGTCCATAAAATTCAATCCCAAATTCCCAACTGATACTACTACTCCGTATATCCTATCATCATTGAATATCCTTTGTAGAAAATTATGAAAGGGGTTATTTGTAATTTTAAGAAACCGTGAGAGTCACTTGGTAATTTGACCAAACATTGTGGGAGGCAGATGTTATATAACCCAACAATGCAACATATCAAAGGCATACTTTGTCTCTGTGTTTGGTTCAACATCATCATCTTCATCCAACACGGTAGCTGTTTCCTCCATTTCATGGCTTTTACAAGTCACAATAAGTTGTTTGGTGAACATCTCCAATTCATCACTCTTACATTCATCTTGCTTTCGCTTATTGGGCTTGGGAAGTTCGTGGTTGTGCTCCCCTTTGTATGTGGTATCAATAATTCGTCCATCTGATGACCGCTCAATTTTCTTTTTAACAGCACAGTCCAAACGTGTGCATCTATAGTAGCTTCGAGGACATTCACTTCCCTTGACGAACTTCTGCCCATATTTCCTCCAATTATAACCATCACTAGCAGGTTTCTCAAAAGCAATAGATTTTAGTTTAGTGTCTGGTGTCTCGCCATTCAAACGTTGTTCATACTCGGCTTGCATTTGTTTGTAATAGAGGTTATATGCTGCCTGAGCTGTGACATAAGCGAGAGCTTGCTGGTGGGACATTCCCAAAGGGCTCTGCTTCAAATTCAAAAGACATAATGACAAACCACCCCTGGTGCTAGTGAAAGAACATGGAAGAATTACTATGACCAAGTTTAAAATAATAAACTACGGAGTACTACATAATACGAAGTCTATAAGATATTGGACTATACTTTCCTATCAAATTGACCTTTTATGATAGAACACTCGGTATAAGAAATATGAAACAATGTGTAGTCCAGACAAGGGGTTGAGGTGTTTAGCTTTGAAGAATTAACATGTAACATGTTAATCTACTCCTCTTACAAGATTTGCCCTTTATGATTGAACCAAGTCTTAATAAGTATGGTGTTCTCAATAACTTGGTTACTGCTGATAGATGAAGAAAATTCTGAGGAAGCATGCTTATTTTTTAAGCTTTCCACACAAACCAGCCGACACTAATAGCAGTGGCCCATTTGGAAGCAGAAATTATTTTTCCCTTCCCCGTTATTTTTTAAGGAAAACTGCATTGTTTGGTACAATGAAAAACAACCTAAGCGGCTAAGCCCCCCCCCCCCCCCCCCCCCACTCCACTCGATATTCTCTTGTTGACAGTAGATGTGAAGAAAACATGGATACAATGGGACAGTATCACCCCATGATCCCTGAAATTTGGTTGTCAACCTCGTTATTCCTTTCCTCTTATTTTTCTTTCTGTATAACAAATGTGTCATAGCCGTCCTAAATCTCAAAACGCAAAATAAACAAAAACAAAGTTGAGTATGCTTTAAGTGGTATAATGAACTAAAAAAATGTACTTATAGTAATCATGTTGATTTTAAAAACCCAACAAAGAACTGAAAAAAACCTTTGTCTAGTTTTCAGAATTTTGTTTCTAGTAAAAAAAAACAGAAACCCAAATTTAAGAACAGGGTAAAGTGAATTTTCTTGGCAACTTACAAAGAAAAAAATCGGCTTTCCAAAAAGCAGTTTTATCTTTTCTATTTTCGTGGAGCATTTATCTTAGAACAACTAATATATATCCAGAGCAGCATTCTACACATAAAATCCAGAAACTAGAGAGTGTCAAATTATTGAATTGAAAAAAATCAACAAATTACCTGAAGTGGGGAAACAAAAATGGGCGAGTTGACCGACCCGGAAGGACTAAACCGGGGCGAGGCCATGAACGAGGGCGAGTGGGCCACCGGCTGGTTCAGAGGGCTATGGGCTAAAAGACTCTGCTTTGCAAGTGGGGAAGCCATGGCTCCGGCGAGCAACTGAGAGAAAGAGCAGCCATGGGAATCGGAGCCAAAGCTGGACTTGAGAGTGGTGGGTCCGGCTGGGCTGAAACCGGGTGCGGGCCCCACGGCCCCCACGGAGAAGAGGGTCTCGGTAGGGGGTCGGGGTGGGACCGTAAGCGCTAGGCGCGAATGGCCGGAAACTGCAGAAACTCCCTCTGAGCTTTCACCCATTCCGGCGATATCTCCTTTTTGCGCACTTACTTTAAAAATTAAACTGCCACCCCACTCTCTGCTATTGGGGTACTGCTTTTGGCGGGCTGATTATGGAAAGAAATCAATAATTTTGCCGATGATCTAGTGAATTCAATCACATGTGATTCATCTATTCTTACTAAATTACTAACTGTAGTTATTTGACTCGATTTCATAAAGTTAACAGTTAAAATGAAAAAAATTGATAAAGTGGATGAAAAACTACCGTATTAAAAGTAAAAACTACCGTATGAAAACCTTACCAATTTATTAGATAACCAAAAGAGTTATATTGTAGGGGAACATGACACCAAAACTATTGCATTAGATAACATACCGGTAACTAATAACATCAAATTTAACAATGTCTATGAGTTTACTATAAATGTTAGGGCTATTAGCATAACTTACTGGCTTGATACATCTCATTATACTCATTGAGAATTGCAATCGCTTTCCATGTTGGCCCATTGCTTCCTTGTAGGCAAGGGCGGACCGTAGTACAGACTCAGGGGGTTACCGCCCCCAACAAGAATTTTTTTAGTGTATATATATATATGAAAAATAATTGTCTTCCTCCGAAAAAATATTTTGAACCCCTCAAAAAATATTTTCACCCCCAAGATGATTTTCCTGGGTCCGCCCCTGCCTGTAGGATTTGTATTACTTGTAAATTGTCACGTTCAATAATGATATTAGTGTAATTCCTCTCTCGAATTCAGTACCGCAGCTTGATCAAAATATCACAAATATTGAAGTTACAATCACATTGGCTATGAGTATTAGATTTGTAGTGAAGCATTTGTCCTCTGTGGTCCCTAATAATCAAACCAGAGATGATGTCACCAGCCCTCGCGGTTCCAAAGGCTATGTTGATTTTATGGAGTCGTCCGAGTGTTTGCTCAAGGTTGCAATCGGGATAGAATGCTTGGGAGGTTTCAGTTTGGGTTTATCATACCTGATATCAATGGGGGTCTACGGCTTTCGTTAGGAAAGGTTTGACCTTACTCAATAGCCTCAGAAAGAATCGATAAACATACAGATTTAATATAAGGAACATAGAAATATAAATAAACTACTTTAAAAGCTCCATAAACATATCGAACAACTAATAAAAACATGGGAAACAAAGACTTTAAGGGTATGTTTGCAAGCAATTAAAAAAATTGATTTTTAATGTTTGACTTAAAAAGCTGAAAAGAGTGTTTCGAATGACAACTTCTGATTAAATTAATTATATAAAAGCTAAAAGTTAGAATCTTTTTTTACTTTTCCTGTTACACAAAACCACATATTGATTTGGAAGGTTTGATCAGCTTATTGTGTTAACTGGTTGTCAAAAAAATGTTTGATAAAGTTAGGTGCTTGTAAATATTCGTTTCTCGATAGAATTTGGTACAAGGTATATTTATAACAACAAATTTATTTATTAAATATTCATGTATAAATTAACCTGACAATGAAAGTTGATTATTAAATTAGATTTGGACTACACGAGTGGTCTTACTAACCATAAACGAAAGATGCATGCACACAAAAAGTTCTATGCATATATTTCATACTCCGTACAATATGTATTTATAGTAATGTAACTTTTATTGTAAACATCACGTTAAGAGCAAGTATTTTTAAAAGTAGATCACTAATTCTTAACTTATTAATTAAAATACTTTGCCAGGCCACTTGAAACTTAAAGAATAATAATAGATTAAAAAGATGGAGTACACGATAAAATGACAAATAGAATACAACAACATTACTCAAATATCGCAAAGACTCTCACCTACAATGAAGTAAGGCGATAAAATGTACGCAGACACGCAACATTGTCCCTTTGCTAAAGCATACTTCCAGATACCGCTAAAAGACTAATAGTGACATAAATCTTAGGGTCTGTTAGGTAACGACTGGAACGGCTGGAATGACTGAAAAGCCTGAAAAGTCTGAATCCGCTGAAGTGAAAGTGTTTGGTAACATGTTAGGTTGAAATAACTAATTGAATGTAAAATTACCATAAAGAGTATTAGCTTATTTGTGTTAAATATAGGAACTTAGCTAGCAAATTATTTGGGTACCGGAGTTGTCACCAATTATTTTTGCATGATTAGGTTATTATAACTGATTACTTACTTAATTAATTAACTGATTACTTACTTAATTAATTAACTGATTACTTTAGAACTAACTCATTAAATAATTGCTCTTAGAACTAATTATTAGTTCGAATGAAAGAGTTACTTTGGCGAAATATTTAAAATCAAAGGATAGACTTACGAAGGATATACTAATTATTACTCGTATATCCGTTAATGTGTCATAACTCATACTACCCCCGTCCTATAAAATTCTTCCCACTTTGACTTGGCACAGAGATTAAGAAAGTGAAAATGTATGGTTGTGGTTGTGTAAGAAAAAGGTGAAATGAATGTGAACCACATAAATTGTCCAAAAATGATAAGTGGGAAGAATTTTTTGGGATGATCCAAAAAGGAAAGTGGAAAAAATTTTATGGGACGGAGGGAGTAATAAATTTATAAACTTTGAATGTAGTAATCACATACTACGTACATCAATTTGTAAAATAAAAAATATCAATGCCAAACATTAAAAACCCACGGATTACTTGTAACAAACGAAGGATAGACTAGTAATTACATTCACCTAACAGCACAATAATAAATTTCAGCAGTAAAAGTACGTTTTGGCTTGTTTTTTGGCTGAAAATAAAAATCAACCATACCAGCCCATTTAATGGGTGTTTGGCATATTTTTGCATTTTCAGGCTTTTCAGCCAGTTTTTGGTCCTCCAAACGGCCACTTAATGTGATAGCAATCATTTGAAGAGCAAGTATCTATTTTATTCATTTTTATCTCAATTCACTAACAAAACACATCCCTATTTTGACGTTTTATACTTTTATTAGACTTTACACCTCACGTGTGCTTTAAATAGGACAATACATATATGTTTAAAAAACTGACCCCACCCGGACAAAAACCCGGGTCGGCTAGTTCAAAACCTGGAAATGATAAAAAATCGGAAAAAATCCGGAAAACCCGGCCCAGACCCGGACCCGGACCCAAAAACCCGAAAACCCCGGGAAAACCTTTTTTCCAAAAAAAATTAATTTCTTTTTTTAATTTTAATGCAATTTTTAAACCTAAAAAATTGCAATTTCAATATCGCAAAAAGAAAAACTATGTAATATATTTATATATTTATTTAGGATTAAAAATCATGCCAAATTATATTATATATGTACAATACAAATAAAAAATATCATTATATATTTTAATAGGACCAAATTATAATTTGGAATATTATGAGAATGTATTAAATGTTTAATACGGAGTAAGTATTATCCTTAGTTAATTATTATGAATAATAACTACTTCCTCCGTCCCCCAATTAAGTTACGAGATGAATTTCACACATTTTAAGGAAATAAATTTACTGGGAGGTAAATTTTACCGTTTTGACACTGTTTTGCACTGTTTGGACATTGTTTTGCACTATTTGTTTTGATGTAGATAATTTGCCAAATAAGGAAAGTAAGAAAGTGTGAACTTAATTTAGGGACTACCCAAAAAAGAAAAGTGATACCTTAATTGCGGGACGGAGGAGTACTTTTTATTATAGTTTTGTATATAATTATATGTTTACTATTATTATATGGACATATAATCATTGACCGATTTTTCGACGTTGACCGGGTTGACCCATGAGTACATGACTCAGTCATGTGCAGTGGCGGAGCTACCATAGTTCAAACTTCAAAGGTGTTCAAGTGAACACCTAAAGTTTTGAAAAACATATTAGTATACATTATAAATTTAATTTAATTATTTATTGTTCTTTCAAGTTTTAATTATACAAAAAAATGAACACCAAAAACATGAATCATAAATCCGTCCGCCAGTCCACCACCGGTCATGTGGCCGGGTCGCTTTCCGGTCCCATTTTTTAAACATAGCAATACATCTCATTTTTCACGGTAGAAAATGTGCAAAATCCAATATGAGCATTATATGTTGAGTGCGCTAAAAAAGAAAAAATCCGAAGCGAGTCCTATTCACTATTGTGGTCAAGTCAACTAGAACACGTGAAAGCCATAGATATATCAACACATATAACTATATAAGCTACAGATGGTCTCAAAAGATTAGATAAAGATGAAATAAATAATATCATTCGGCATACATTATGCACTGTCACCCATACCACCAGTAAAAGAAACGATGGGGAAGATACAACATCAGGTGGTGGATATAATTTACACATATCAGAGAATTCTAAAACTATCTCCTAATCAATCAAGTTTGAAGTGTCCATTGTCTGGATTGTTGTTTTTGTGCTTTGCATAGCCAAATCTTCACCATGCTGTTTCGGTTTATGGGACTGAACATATTCTTCGATTTTGGCCTTCAGCTCAGTGTTCGGAATCAACATATCCACAGTTAGATGAGAACGGTTGAATGGATCCGACTGTAATCCAGAAAATCCCAAGGGCAAAAACAGTCAAACACTGAGTTCCGTCTAATGTACCATACAAATTAGTCAATTTGGTAACAAAATGGCAATCATGGCTGAATTATTATTATCTTTAAAATGCATTTCAGGTCTTGTTTAGTGAGGTGTAACTGGCTGAAATGGTTGGACCAACGGAATTCTGCTTATATGCAGAATTGACAAAGCAAGAACTACCTACCAAGTGCAGCCTAAAATATATTTCTGGATAAATTAATTAAAACAATATTTTAAAATGAGGCTAGAAGTGTCATATACGTTCATAACTACAAAAACAACTTCAGCTCTACTTTTTCATCACCAACAGATCCGCAGAAGCAATCAAATAAGTAGAGTGTTTCGTACAAAAACGTGACTGATTAGCAGATAAGTCATGATACCAAATGGGCACTCAACATAAGAAAGATAGAAGATAAACATACACTATCACTTAGAAGATGCCTCTGAATGACAGGCATGTCAACCGTGATCTTAGATGAGGGGAGGATAACAGGATCCCTCATTAATGTATACTGCATACACCCAAATGAAGACATTATGAAGCAAAGCTCAAAAGAAAATTGT